TTCTTTCCTCTTCATCTTTTAAAAGGGGGGATATTTTTAGTTTGGAGCCCAGCAGGTAGTCTTTCTCTGAGGAGTGGGATGTCCATTATATATTAATGTATCCGGTGTATGTGTTGGCATGTGTGTGCTTCTATGTTTAAGCGGTTTAAAAGGCTCTTTTTGCTTATGTGGGCCATGCTGTGTTGCGGCCACTACAACAGATGCACTGAATCTATCCCTCCACAAGGTATACATCCATCTGTCTGATCAGGGTTGTGAATTATTCATCTTAATGGCATTACTGTGACAGCATGTTGCCTGACTATACTTTTCAGGTGGTTTTCGTATAACATATATCTTCACAGAAAAGTGCAGTTTCTTCTACATATATTTGATGGTTGTGACTGATGACACTGGACATAAACACCACTGATAATGATTTAGGAAGCTCAGCCAAAATTACCCTGGCAGAGGATAGAAAGTAATGATTATGAGAACAAATGATGAGAGTAAAAACTGCCTGCTTCACCTATTTGCTAATTTAAAACATAATTTCTCCTATTCATTTTTAATGTCGCAGTGCTTTAATTAAAAGGAGATCCATGCAAGCTTGCAGAAACACATGTTCTGTATATGCTAATGATTGCAGAACAAATCTACATACTGGCCTTATTTCAATTTCTCAGACCAGCTCACCTGTTGTTCCATTAACTGCATATCCCTTGCAAAAAAAAACTTTAAGGAAATAGTTCACCCAAAAAATTAACATGTGCCATTTTTCATGGTGCTGTTGAGCTCAAAAAGCAACACGAAAGTAGTCCATATGACTTTTACGCTATATTCCAATTCAAAGGGAAACTGAAACAGAAATGGGAGAAAATGAAACTAAGTTTGATAATCAATGCCAAACAAGGTGCGGTCACCTCGTGAAATCCCTTTCAGCTTTCTGTTGGTCAATGCAGCAACTTGAAGCTGCTGCAAAATCCCTTGTGAAAACTAAATGCTAAAACAACACTAAATGTTTCTGCACCTTCTGTTACAGAATCAAAGATGTTTGACATAATCGGTGGCACCCCATTTTTAATATGCCGGTGAGATGGATTATGGTACTTTTATGATGTGTTTTTGTTTTGAAGCTTGACAGCCCCAATTTCATTTGAGTTTGTTCCCTATTTATCACAAAATAGGGTAAGTAAATTTACATAATTTTAATTCGTCAGGGAACAATTAAATACAAAAATTAGAAAAGTCTACAGGTGACCATTGCCGAAATGGATTGCATGTTGTTTTTGAACTCTCAGCTACTTGTACAGTATTTCAATTGTTGCACAGCAGAATCATCTAAATTCTTAAAATTAATCGTGACAATTTTGTCAGCATGAACTGGAAGAAGTTGCGGTTGTATTGTCTTCCCTATTTCCTAGTGAAACGACTTCTTGAATGAAAAAACTTCTCATGGTGAGAACTTCTTGATTTCATGGTGGCTTTAAGAGGTTAGGAGTAGTGATCCTCTTCCTGGTCAGGACACAGTTAAAGATGAAGCTGGCTTAAACACTCACTTAAAGGCTCCAGATGCAACACATCAAAGTGCTGTCCAACCTGCCATTTCAAACGACACCTTTGGCACCGGGTACATTTGGCCGTGTTTCAAGCAGCTTGTGCTCTCCTACTCTGATTGGACCAGTTCACTCATCCACTACCAACTCTATTCAAAACAAGGATCACATAGTGGGTCAACCAAACCCTTATGTCTGTCTCATTCTTCTTGAAGCATGAACAATATAGTACTGGCGAGACGAAGTTCAACCATTTCATTTATCCATAATGTCCTTTAACTAACAACAGTGTGTTTGTCTGCACAATCGAGACTAATGTTTGTTAAAAAACACTATAACTCACAGAGCAGCCTCAGTGGTAGGTTTGTTAAAATGCACTGTGACCTATTATGTCAGAGAAAGCAGCGATTCCACAGGTTTCAATGTTGCAAGGATATAGAGGGAAAAAGCAATGCTTAGAGAAAGTGACACTCACACAACTTGTTCCACAAGGGGGTTTTCACAATGCCATTGGAAAACAATTTTGGTTCCCAAAAGAACCTTTCAGTGAACAGTTCTTAAAAGAACCATTTTTTTTCTCAATGTGAAGAAATTTCACATTTTCAAAAAATGAAAGAACCTTTTTTACTACTATTAAGAACCTTTTGTGGAATAGAAAGATTCCATGGATGTTAAAGGTTCTTCAATGAACCATCAATACCAATAAATAACCTTTATTTTTTAAGAGTGCATGAATTAAAAAATGTTATATATAAAAATGGCAACTTTCTGTGTTAAATGCAATAAAATTAACACTGGCAGTTTATAAAGTCAACTGTAAAATGGTTTGTTGTATACCACTGGCCAGGGATAGTTTTATGTTTAATGATAATAATATATGTTGGTTTCTAAAGCTACTTTTGGCACAATATTTTCAATAACTTATTAATCTGCCACATCATTGAATTATCTTCAACTGGGGGCTTTTCGGTGATTATTTGCGATTCATTTGATTGTGTTATGGTTATAATTCAGTTAAATCGATGCATTCATGAACAATAGGTTCTCTCTTTCCAGCAGTATGGAATGGTACTCGAGTTACTATCAAGAGATACATTCCCTACTAAGGGTCTGGGACCATTTATCTTAACCATTTATCTTAACACTCATTAACCAGGCTGGGGCAGGCAGAAGAATTTAGTGAAGTGATAAGCCCACTTGTTGAATAACGGACTGAAGTCTTTTCCTCCTTTCTGCCCTACACAGATAACAATGGAATGTGTATTCGTACAACAATTCATTTCATAGTGTAGTGCCTGTGGGACTTAGTACTTAGCTCTCAGTAGAAAACACAAGGCTAAACACGTCACTGGGGGGAAAACTTCTGAGACAGCGGCCCTAGATGATTGAAATTGATGCTGCAAAATTCCAAGTTTTTGTTGGCAAAATCAGAATAATTACAGTTCCATTAGAGACCCGCTGTACTGCAATATAATTATGATGATTTCTCTTTTGAGAGGCATGTAGCTTGCCAACCAACAGTTTTAAAGCAGTTTAACCACAGTCAAACTACTTGTTTGAAAACGTATTTCGCTACAATAGAAGATTTTAACAACAAAATATCTACCACAAGATATAATACATATAATTCAACCAGAGCCTAATGTTTCTGCCACAAAAAAACATTGAGGGTATTTGAATGTGTTAGAATCTCAATTATGCACTGACCAAATAAATATACTTTCAATTAAACTTAAAAAAAATGCCACAGTATAAACAGTCAAAAATATAGTAATGAACAGCAACAGGGAATAATTTTTTAATCAATTCAAAAACAAGTACAGTTCCAACAAACTGATTCACTGGAACACATCTGATTTTCCAATGCTACATATGAAAGAGAGAGAGAGATGTTTAGTACACAGATTCACTTGAATGAATCAAACTAGAATGATTCAAACTGTTTAGGTTGAACCAATTCTCTAGAATGAATCAGAACAGAATGAATCAGATAATTTAGGATGAACTGATATACTAAAATGAATCAGACCTTCAAGGATATACCAATTCACTATGAATCAAAATAGAATTATCAGATCATTTAAGATTGATCAATTCACTTAGTATTAGTTCCATTGAGAGAGAGGACAATTTAGGATAGTGCGTTTGATTTTTATTTTAGTTTGCTCATATGTAAATCTACAGCTGCGATACAATATCTAAAACAAGTAAGCAACACAGTAGCTAAAAAAGGAGCTTGTTACTGGAAAAGTTATGTTACTGAAAAATTAGCAGCACCATTTTTAGTTAGTTACTCCTCAACACTGCTCTTTTTTCAGCACAAATAAAGTACTAGACCCAATGAACAGTAATTAAAGAGACAAGAAAAAGAAAGAGACAAGAGTATTTGTTCCTATTTGTGCTCTGGAGGACCATTCTGCATGAAACTCAAGGCCCTAATTATAGCTAAGGGGTATTAAGGAGGCTAGTGCTGAAAAAGAGTGAACGAGAGAAAACCAGGTGGTATAAAACAAGAGAAGAGAAGGAGAAAAGGGGTAGGGGGTGATAAAGACCACACTTTCTTCTTGAGGGTCAAAGAAAGGAGGTGAATGAACTCACCCTATTACTCAAACTCTTGGGTGGTAAAGGGAAAGTTTCAATCATACACTAGCAAAAGTAGACATTCTCAACGGGACTTTGCTGTGTAGTTTCTTGCGTGAAAAACCTCTTTTCAAGCATAAATTCCAACGCTTTCAGATTGTCAGTGAGGGGGCAGACATGACTCAGCTGACAGCGAGGAATTGTGGGGAGTGTCTTTCTCAAACATTTTGCCTAGCCAGACACCTTTGAAAGGAACCAACCGACTGAATCGAACTGCAAAGCTTTGATAAGGACAATATGCTTCCAAGTTTGTTTTTTTACTTAAGATGCTAGTAAAAGTCTGACTTTCTGAACATTTACAGATTTAAATTTGACAAAGCCTTGACCTACATGTTTATATAAACCAAATGTAATATAAAAAGCTAAACTGTGGTTAAAATTCCTCAGATCTTGGTTATTATCATGATCTAAAACAGGTGATAGAAGGTAATTGTTCATTCGTTTAGGTCTCAGAGGCCACCACTCTGCTTTCATCTCATGTTCTACTAGTTGTAGCATCTAAACCTGCCTTTTTGTCTGACATAAAATCTTTTTGGTAAGGCAAACAGTCTCTACGATCTCTATCTTGTTTTGTGACCTTGAGAAGTGTAGCAGTGCTCCCTGTGGTTTTTATCCTCCTGTCTTTCTTTTAGCTGTTTTCAAGTTCACTGCTGCCAGCATAAAACTTCAATACAAACTGTAAAAATGAGAGCACAATATTGGCTCACTGGGTGAGGCAGAAGTCAGGTCGATCGATATTCTCACCAGCACCTCCTGGAAAGATGCATGGGGCGTTCTTGGGGACAGTATATAAATGTCTGTATGACCTTTATGTTTTTGTTGCAGGGTCCAGAAGGAGGGGATGTAAAGCCCACCTCTGATACCCTGACCCCACCACAGGCACAGCCTGATGTACGTCACAGCTTTGTACAGGAGCACTTCCAGGCACAATACAAGTAAGTGTACTGCCAACACGCAACACACAGCATTTGGGGTTGTAAGATTTTTTTTAAATGTTTTTGAAAGAAGTCACTTATGCTCACCAAGGCATCATTTATTTGATCAAAGAAGGGAAAAAAAACGAGTAAAAACGGACTGTAATATTGTGGAGTATTATAATTTTAAATAACTTTCTATTTGAATATGTTTCAAAATGTAATTTATTCCTGTGATGTCAAAGCTGAATTTTCAGCATCATTCTTCAGTCATCCTTCAGAAATCATTCTAATATGATGATTTGATGCTCAAGAAACATTTCTTATTATCATCAATGTTTAAAACAGCTGTCCTTCTTATAAAATAGATCTTTGTTGAAACCATGAACTTTTTCTTAGGATTCTTTGATGACTAGAAATGTCAAAAGAACAGCATTTATTTGAGATAGAAATCTTTTGTAACAACGTAAATGTCTTAACTGTCAATTTTATGAATCGTTGCTGAATAAATAAATAAATTACTGACTTCCAACTTGTATATGTTATTGTTAAATGTATATAAATGATATCAAAGTTATATATACATTTGGATTTTTCACAACCTAATTTAAAGAACCAACTTATCCTACTATGACATTTGAAAGCATATTAGTAGCAAATAGCATACACGTAAAAAATGTGTACTACTAGTAATTTCCACTGGAATACATCCAATACATCTGTTAAAGTGGAGAAATTGCTGAAGAGGACAAAAAAGGCACAGATCTTAACTATACAGTAGATAGTTAATGTATCTACACTATTTTGTTTAAAAAGCATATTAAAACCAACAGGTATTTGTGTTTTGGACACTGTTTTTAAAGCATACCAAGTTCATTTTATATATTAATATGTCCCAGTGACAAGCTGTTGTACCCGTTAAAGGTAAACATTTTTGCAAATTTTCTTTCTGAGAGTTTTGAGAGAATGATGACTTATGACCTGGAATGAAAAAAAAATTATTCCCAGGACCAACTTCCCAAATCTGACCCCCTCCACTTGCTATGACATGAGATGAATCAGTTTATGTTAACTCCAGGGATACGGTCCCCTCTTTTGCAGCATATGTCCAACTGCAGCAAGCTGTTCTTAGACAGAAGATCCAAACAAACCATCACCATCAAGCAACTCCAATCAGGCCAGATGGTTTGGTTGTCCACAAGGGATCTCTATTTGAAGTCTCCATCAAAAAAGCAAAGTCTTTGATTGGTGGTCCATTTAAAGTTCTAAAACAAATTCCTCCAGTCGGTTTAAAATAAAACCAACTTCACATTCAAACTGACTGCACAGACAACTCAAGCTATGTTTCTTTATGTAGTAACAAACTTTATAAAAAAAACAACACTATGTAGGACACCATACTGTATGTATCAATCAATCAATCAATCAATCAATCAATCAATCAATCAATCAATCAATCAATCAATCAATCAATCAAACTTTATTTATAGTCAAGTCAAGTTATCTTCATTTATATAGCGCTTTCAGTGGTGGACAGTAACGAAGTAAATGTAATTCGTTACTGTACTTAAGTAGCTTTTTTGCGTATCTGTACTTTACTCAAGTATTTAAATTTTGGGAGACTTTTACTTTAACTCCACTACATTTCAAAGTCAATTATCTTACTTTTTACTCTACTACATTTTCAAAATCAGTCGTTCCTTTTTATTTATGAGTGGATAAAAACGTAACTGGCCAAACGAGCCACCAATCACAGTACAGCGCGCGCGCTTTGTTTTGAACTTGCCTTGGCGATATCTACTAAGCGTGAACCAGAGCCGTTAAATATGAGAGTTGCGAACATAGATGGTTGTGACAGTGATCTCGCCGCCGTGCGGTCACATTATTCGTGTAGCTCTCAATAGTTCCAAACAAATCACGTTGACAATGAAGCGGGACAGAGAGCAGCAGCTATTATTGCAGCAATTATCGGTAAGTATTAACGCATAATGTACATTGCTTACGTTGCCACTAAAATGAATTGCATATAATAGCTTTTTTTTCTGGGGAGAAGCCTAGCAGAAACACTGCATTAATACATTTTTGTGTTTAATTTTGGAGGGAAATTGGCTGCTCCCATAACATAGAATATAGAATATATATATAATGTGTGTGTGTGTGCGCGCGCGCGCGCGTGTGTGTGTGTGTGTGTGTGTGTGTGTGTGTAGGCAAGGTGTGTGTGTGTATATATATATATGTGTATATATATTTAATGGGGTTGTGCAGGTTTATGTGAATGTATCATAACATTAAGATGTTAATGATTATGATCATAGGCGCTGGAGAAAAATATATTCAGTAAATACTGTAAATGTTTTATACCTTATGGGAACAGTCCCCTTCCCTCCAAAATTAAACACACACAAAATTAATTCAATTTAAATATATATATATATATATATATATATATATATATACATATACATATATATATATATATATATATATATATATATATATATATATACAAATTATAATAGGACATTATAGCCATAAAAAAATCAAAGTACTTGGATACTTAAGTACATTTGAAGGCAAATACTTTTGTACTTTTACTCAAGTGAATGTTTAAAGGCAGCACTTCTACTTTTACTTGAGTAATATTTTACCTTGAGTATCTTTACTTTTACTCAAGTACATGGTATGTGTACTTCGTCCACCACTGAGCGCTTTTAACAATGGATTGTTCCAAAGCAGCTTTACAGAGATAAACATATAATTTAAGGTAACAGAGATTGTTTTGGTTTTATAGCGGTTCTTGAATAATGTTATTTCCAGCTAAAGTTAGTTTTGATTGATTCACCTCCGTTGAAATGATCATTTGTTATTAAATTAGGGGCCACTAAGACAACGTCGTTCTCTCTAAACAGACTTTAAACGCGAACCTGTGATTAACGCTGACGGCGTTCACATGTGTTCACATGCGCATTAAGAATTGATTCTATAGTCATGTGCTTTTGAAAATATGTGCGCAGGTTTGTAATTCCATACAACCCATGCCTAAACAAACTACTTGTCTTGCCTATAAATTTTGATACAGAATTTTGTTTTATTTTATCACTTCGGGGTACGCGAGCCGGATTTATAAAGCACTTTAAAACCACCAAAGTGGACCAAAATGCTGTACACAAAAATAAATAAAATACATAAAATATATACTTTATAAAGCATATAATACAAATAAAACAAATCAAGAGACATAAAACATAAGAAAAATAGCCATACCATAAAAAACGATAAAATAAATTAACAAAATGTCAACATCAGGTGTCAAAGGCCAAGGAGAAAAGGTGGGTAGAAGTGATTAAAAAAAGACAGTCTAATAGGCAGAGGCAGCCTCTTATGTGTAGCCTCATAGACTGAAGCAGACTCAACATGTGACTAAACTATATAGTGCAGATTTTATTTATACAGTCTACCAAGCCACTAAATGGCCTGTTCATAATATTTACATTTATGCACTTGGCAGACTTGACATTACTGTGTTGAGATGCTCAAACAAACAGCAGAGTTTAATATTACCTCCGCATGTTAAACTGAGATAAGAGAAAGTATTTAAAAAAAATTAAAATACATGTGAGAGTTTAAATCATATTCTATAACCTAGAGAGTTCAGATCTTATATTCCCTCTCAATCTTCTTCTCGCTCCAGTGGTGAAATGCAGTTAGCAGATTTTCAGTTTTTCCCAGTCACTTCCCTGCAGTTCTCCACTGACACTCGTCTGAACAGTTTATGTCACTCATCTAGCCTCTCTTCAGCTGTTACCTGTGTTCTCACTGTCATTTTGAGACATCATTACATTACTTTATCCTTCTCTTTGGCATCCACATCTCTTTTTTTCCCATCCTCCATCTGCTGCTAGCTGGTTAATTTGTTCATTTTACATACATTTTATGATGAATCACTGACATGAGTAGAAAATTACTGTTTATCATCACCCAACTGCTGACAAAAAAAGCTCTGCACAAACACCTGGCCTGCAGTCCACACATCAGCAAGCCCGAGCACGTCAATACGCAAATATCTACACAGACCGACATAAAAACACTGATTAAATGTGTGACGTAGTCTGAAGCTCTCGTTCATGAGAACTGTAATTAGTTTTGAAAATAACAGCATACTAGACATTTGCTCCCAAAGGAAGTAACTCTTGTTTTTTGCTGTACTTTTAAAAATAAATCGTGAAATATCTGCCATTTCATCATAGTGTTGTTCAATGCCCATTTAAAAATGAAAAACAAACATTGATTAGCGAATCAACTTGCAGACCACTTGAAATCCAACAATTTAGCACAACAGCTGAGTTTCGGAAGTAAAAACGTACTCGGTTACTAACGTAAACTCGGTTCACTGAGAGTAGGGAACGAGTATTGCGTAGCTATACGCAGTGGGAAAACTCCTTTTCTCGAGAATATTGAAGCCTTTATTTTAAACGCGGTGCAGTTTTACACTTGGGTCGGGGGCCTTGACGCTCTGGGAACGGGAAGCGCTTGGCAGGCTAGGAGCACCGGTGAGTTTCAGCCGCTGGGCGGGGCTGAGATGCTGGTTTAGCTGGCTGTGGGGTCGACGCTTTCTTAGGGCGACCCGGCACTGAGCTTGATCGCTTTGGCAGGAAGTGGCTCATAGCCTGTGACGACTTCTGAGCTTCTGTAAAGTGCTCGGAGAATCCCTTAACTGCGGGGCCGAAGAGACCAGCACTCGAGATCTGCTAGTCCAGGAAGGTAGCCTTGTCCGCATCTTCGATATCTGTCAAGTTGAATCAAAGATGGCGCTCTAGGACGACTAAGATGGCCATGCTTTTTCCGATCGCCTGGGCAGCGGCCATTCCTCGGTCTCTGATACAGCCAAAGACAGGCTGTCATCATGCTCCTCTTCCGATCCACCAAATGAGACGAGGCCGGCCACTTCGAGGGAGGGGCGCTGGTCCGTCTTGGTGAACAGGATGGGCGAAGCATTTCTCTCTGGAGAGAGCGAGGCACAC